CATTCAGTTCTGTGTTTGCCTTTCTCACGGGACACGCACAGACTGCCTTGTAATAGGACCAATAATGCAGTGATAAGACACTCATGTCCACTGACCAACCCCCCTGCTTCTTCTTCTGACTCCACAATTCACTCGTTCTGCCTCTGGCAAGTTCCTAAACAGCCACTGAATGTCAATTTGTAGGAAGAATGTTCTCAGCTGGATTTTGGACTGATCCTGTGGAGGCAGCATGTCGGGAGAAATCAACAGGAGAATTCACTGAGGTGTGACTGACAACCCTGTCAGTGGTGCAACACCAGCAGCAATACCCATAAGTTACACCTGACAGTCAGACGGAACAGATGTATGCTTGTAGGCCCCGACGTGAACCTTGTTCCCTACTCAGTCGCTTGTTCTCCAGTGCCTTGGCCTGCCTTTGAAACGCTGACCCAAGGTAAACATTGTTGTGAATTGTGAGAGCGCAGGAGGACACAGGGAGACGCATGGAGACGCATGGAGAAAAAAAACCCCAAAATAATAAATAAATACATAATCTGAAGGTGTTTAGAACAGCTAAGGAAGTTAAATGGACATATCTTTTGCCCTGAAGTAGCTCAGCTGTAACGCATTCTGGGTTTTTAACACAAACAGAGTAAACGTCTAAAGATCACAGATAAAGAACTAAATGGCCACAAGGGATTGCACTGGCACAGTGACTCAGCACTCCACTGATTATTGTGTGTATATGGCTGACAGTTGCCTGCAGAGTTCAAAGTCTGGCACCACTTCCCCTCATCAGCAGCCACTTGCCAAATTTTACATGTAGTTAATCTAAGTCATCCACTTGTGCAAATTTGGTGTTTTTACCGACTTCAGTTCTGCCATTTTTTTAATCACAGAAATACACAAAGAACAGACTCATCCTGACTACTGAGACACGTGTGTCGCAACAGTCAGCATTGTCATATTTATTGGACACATGACACTGAAAGGCTAAACGAGACACAAGGAGAGAGACAGAGAGACTCCTAAATAAAATCTGAATATATTACAAGCAGTGATCTTGGAAATTAAAGAGCTTTCTGACATTTTATCAGTACTTAATCCAATGCACTTGATTACATTCTGTCATAATGCAGTCCTGCAAGCCTATGTCATGCTGCATTTGCTAAATATGTGTGGATGACGACTTTGGAAAATTTAGTCAGTTGAACTCACGTTATAATTATTAAAATGACTTCAATACCCACCAGGATGTCTGTGACTCAGTCCAAAAACGCTCTGGTGTGATTTAAATGCTTCTGTATATTTTGTTAGCTGCCCAACAAAGCTGACTTTCATTAATCACTCATTTTTCACTTCAAGTGAGGCTAAACACTTTCGACAGGCGGAATGAAAGTGATCTTGATTGATTCCCCAAATGTGTCACTTCTCCCTGGAGACCATTTCTGTGTCTTCAACTACAGGTCGACACGTCATCGACTTTGCCTGGCGAAGCAATAACTGGGTCGTCTTTCAGTTCAGTTAGTATAAAGCTGCTAATCATCCAAAAAAAAAAACAAAAAAAAAAACGGCTCAGTTTATTAACCTTTTAATTTTTGGAGTTAAAAAAAAAGCTTCAGTACTGTCTGATCTCTAATGCTGCATCGACTAAATCTCAGAGTCAGCTCGGCGTGTACTTTTGAGGTTAGTGAGCATTTTTCATTTTTGCGCCCCGCACGCAGTGAAAGTCATGGATATATTTTTAGATGAAATTACCTTTATCATTTATCTCTTGAAAAAAGGTTATTAATCTTCTCATTCTTTGTTCTCCAAGAACACAAACATAGCAAATCACACCAAGACTTGGCAACTAAAACTAGCTTTGTGGGATAATGCCATTCAGCTTCTCTGTATGTACATTAGAAGTCGGTAATCTTTTCCAAACATCTATTTTTGAAATAAAAAAAAA